GCGTGGCACTGCAACAATTATGGATAGGTTACTATGAATAGGTAAATTGCAATGGGGTCCACGTGTAAGTTATCAAAACGGCTCGGCTCTGCAGTGTATGCGATTAAAAAAATACGGAAACTTTCAGACGTCGAAACCGCTAGATTGCTTTACTTCAGCTACTTTCACAGTCTAATGACATACATCATTTTGCTTTGGGGTAATGCTGCCGATATCAATAGAATCTTTGTCCTGCAGAAACGTGCGGTTAGTGTAATTAACAATCTGGGCCCCAGAGTACCTTTGAGAGATAAGTTTAAGGAAATTAACATTCTTACACTAGCCTCACAGTACGTTTATGAAAATGTAATTTATGTTAAAAGAAATAGTAATTTCTTTATGAAAAATAGTGACAGACATAAGATTGATACAAGGGATAAAAACAAACTAGCTGTTCTTGATAGTCGTCTTCACAAAGTCACAAATTCGTTTAAGGGCCAATGTATACGCTTCTGAAACAAGATTCTGGTTGATATGCTAAATTTTAAAATTTAATAGTAACCCGTTTAGCTCTTGGAGGTAGTCTCGATCTGATGTTTCAAAACAAAAAAATGTATTGTAAATGTTGAATGTTGTACACATTTAATTTAATGTTATTTACAAAGAGCAACCCCTAGAGTTTCTTGCTCATTCTTCTCAGGGGAATCTGCATTGCGAATGAGCGGTAGAGTTCAACCAATGTGACGATTTCAAGTGTAATATTGCTTACCTATGAAATAAAGATTATTATTATTTTGATTTTGATTTTGCGGTGTGTCGCTTACCACCAGACGCACGACTCGGTCGTGCTGTTACTTGGTATTATATAAAAAAAGCGTTACGAAATATGTTCGTCTGGCGCAACGAATTTTAGTCGAACGAGACTCAAAAAACGCGAATTGCAACTCAAAAAATTACGTTCGTGTGGCCTCACCCTTAGAATTGAGTAAGAGTAATTCAAACGTAACATTTTTGTAAAAGTTTAATTTTGTCATAATTATATGTGTTTTTTTAATTAAAATAGGACCTAAAGATTAAAAAAAACATCTAATTAAGAAATTTTATTATTGAGGAGTGATTTAGTACACGGACTTTGGAATTTTTTGAATGTTGGCAAAGAAAGATAAAAAAAATGCAATACGTGTATACGAAACTCCTACCACAAACATTATTTTGTAGTATGATAAAGAAACAACTCTAAGTGGTTTTTGTTCAACCGAGTCCATTTTCCCGATAATGGATTAAAAAATATGCCAAAGTTTACTCGGATCTTTTGAATTAGTTGGATTCTTTGTGTGTCCCACGTCCAAAGAAAGCCCCTTGTGTTTTGCCGCCAACTTTGTACAAATCCTTTTTTATTTCAGAACCTCTTAGGCAATAAAAGATAAATACTTTTAAATGTATTAAGACATTCTTTTTGACTTCTCCGCAGAGGGCAACATATACTTAGTCAATATTATATTGCTACAAACTGGAAGCCGACTATTTATTTGCCGCTTTCAAAAGCACTTAGAACCGTCGACCGTGCAACTTAATAGTTTAAAATTAATAAGATATCGAATAAAATAATAATTCATTTAATTGTATTAGAGAAAATTATAAAATTTAATGCTTTAAATAACCCTCTGACCGCATAATACGCCTATAGGAGCCATCATTTCCCGTAATTAGGCACTGCTGTATTCGCAACAGATGCTACACTGAAAGGGTTAAAATCATCTCTACATGCAAATCTCAACTTTAAAATCTTAAGCGTTAAGACTAAATTTAAATAAAATATTTCACTGCTGACAATTCAAGATGAGATTGAATTTTGTTATTCGCGTTCGAAGTTTGAAATTTGTCTGAGATTTTTTTACGAACATTGTGCTTAAAGTGCAAACTAATATTATGTCTAACATGTTTGACAGTAAAGTTGAAATTGGTTTGAATATCAAGCCAGGTGTAGCCTGGTTGTTTTTATATTACGGTACTTACGCTGGGTTATGTTTTTGTACTGAAGTTTATCTAAATAGGCCACTGTGACACTACTGGTCCGCTTCACATTCCCGTCTTTATTTTGAAAGTCTATCTAGATTTTAAATAGCCTAGGAAGTAACATTGTATATTGTACAAATGTAGAGAAAATAGTACACTTGAATTTGAACTTTACAACTTTAGACCTTGTTGAAAATGGTACAGAGCTTATTTTAAATCTTAATTTAACTGTCATTATATGACACCAATCGAAACAAAATGGCGTCATAGCCTGCCATTTTATTGTTCATTGACCGTGTTCGAGAAATATATGAATCAAAGTGTTGATGATACAAATGAATCCCTGTACTGAACGTAAAAATAGATCATAAATGACCATCGTCAACCAATTTATACGTCCCACCAGACACGGGTCTCCTCCTCGCCACAGGCGAATACATTTACATATCGTTAATGCGTTTAAATAAATAAAATCCGAAAACTTATTTAGACATCTTTGGGTTCTATTACATTGTAAGAAATGAAAGGGGCTTCCTTGTGAAAGAGTTCGTCCAGTTAAGTAATATCATTACATCTTTTTCTGCCATCAAAGAGTAACGTGTGAATTACAGAGTTCCGATTTTGAAAGGCAAGGGTGCTGGTGAAAGTACAGGTACCTGTGACTTGTCAACATGATGTCCCAGACTGAGTGGCACTGCAAAGAAAAAACAATGGAAGTCCCATAAGCCTCGATTACGTAGTAGTAGAATCGCTGTCCTCTAAACTCACACAATCGTATTCGACACTGGAAAGGTAAAACATCTAACGTACATTTGGAAAATACCACAGGAGAGCGATTTAACGTATTGTTTTTTAAGAGAAATAACATAACTCTTAGTTTATTTGTTATATGGAAAAGATGAAGCTTTTTTTTCATTAAAAAAATTCTTTAAATCGCTCACCTGTAATATTTTCCAAAAACACGTTAGACGTTTTACCTTTCCATTGTCGATATGTTTGACACTATGAAATCTTAATATCCCTCTACTATCCTTTCAATTATTTCCCATATTTATACTTCATTTTTCTGTTTTCTTTCAAAAGCATACCCTAATACATGTATTATTAATAAGGGGTAATAGTAATATATGTGGTGTATAAATAATCAAATGCGACTATTAATTTTTGCATTCCAAAGTAGCAAAATAAAGCGTTTTTAGAGATATTGTGTGAGATAATTAACACGTCCATAGCGTACAAAGCAACAAACCGGAAATGGCGGACTGAGCTCAGGCATGTGTAACTCCGTGTATTGTTGGTACACGTACCCCGCCCTCTAAGCACTTAAACTGTTTTTATTGTTTACTGCAATTATTATGGGGAGAAGTGTCGTTTACCACGAGGCGCACGACTTGTTTGTCCAGTCACCTATCATAAAAAAATGGTTTATAGCTATGTAAACAATCGCATATAAGATATCAGGTCCTATATAGCAAACTTCGTAGTAAAGCAATAGGTCCAACTGAGTATCTTCGCTGAGATTGCAGTTATTTTTACTTTCTGTGTGCCATGGACGTCATTATTTATTGGGAACACGTAGATAGCGTATTGGAAATCGTTCGCCACGTCATTTATTACAACTAAATCAATGTTCATAGAACTTATAAGGGATTGTTACTACACTGTGTTTAATGATTTTTTATGTGCAAGAAAGTCCGAAAGTAACTTTTCGTGAATTTCAGAGCGTCAGACTTCTTCAGGTATGTCGGTATATACTGAACGCGATCGAAAATTCAAAAAACCCTATGTCTTTCGGAGGGCTGCTCACTGGGGATATTATAAATGCACACTTAATATTACAAAAGTACTATACGAATCTGAGAGTCTACTTCCGTTCTTTGTCCGACATGAACAACAATTACTGTCAAATAAGTAAGTAATACTCGACCAATACAAAATATAATGTCACGTATGAAGCTTCATTCGCATCATGCGTTTTTTAACTTGGTCGAGCCTTATTGGACGGTAATTGTTTCGGACGGATGTTGGACGAGAACGGAAGTAGACCACTGGACATAGTACACTGTTTGTCGTTAAAAAAACATATATACATATACAATCCTTCAACTAAGGAAACAAATCACGATTAACCAGACTTAAATTGGTTTATTCCGCTTAATGTCAAAATACGATCTTTTTCTTTGAAGCCCTGTGTTGCCAATTACGAAAACAAATATTCTACTGCAAATAACTTATACAATGTATTACCATATTACAAATAACAGTTCTTATTAAAGACAACGGGTAATGATATTAAAATACAAAGTAAATTAGGCTTAAGTATGGAAGCTAGATGGGTATATCTTACATGGCTATCACAAACAAGATGGTATAATTAGGCTTACACGTGTGAACATTTTATACGAATCATCAGAAATTTCTGCCATTCCAAAAGCCAGGTTTTCACTAACTTGTGGTCAAATATTAGATTTACATTGAGAGATAAAACTCAAAATTCTCTATTTAAAAACAGATAAAGTTAGTTAACGTGTCACCGTGGAACCAGTAAAATTCTACGAAACAATTTCAGTAATCTAAAACTGGGTTAGGGTTTTTTATAATATTAAAAAAAAATACTGTCACATAGCGGATGGCAGCATATTAATATTTTTGTTTTAATAAGAGTCTATACAATCTCAAATGGCTTTGGTTAGTTCCGCATAACAGAAATACAACAACTGACAGGATATACACTGATGAGCATACGGTGTGAAAACAATGTTCCTAAAAATTTCTACCATAGAAAAGAAAACACAAACTTACCTCGAAATTTTCCAAGAAAACCGCTGTTTTCAATAGGTACCTACTTGATATATACTAATTATTTTTTTATATCAACTGAAATAAATAGAACACGCATAGTGTAAGGTATACATTTTTCAAATAGCTTTAATTCGTTTGTAAAAAAAATATTTTCTGAAATAAAGCCAGTGTCTCAACTCTTAAATAAAGAACAAAGTTCTTACCTCAAACACTTCTCTGGTTGAGGAGAAGGGCAGCACGGCAACCCCTACCATCAAATCAGCGACGGCCAGTGAAACAATGAACAGGTTGGTGACACTGCGCAGCTTTGAAGAGCACAGCACAGCTGCTATAACTAGGCAGTTGCCTGGAACAATATACAGAAATTGATTCAATTGTAATTATTTTATGGCATGTGTATGAAGGGATTATTCTTGTCTAGTAAGTTTCTGCTAGTGTTAAAGGTTCTCAAAGGTAATGTTCGCGATCACCAGATGTGAACAGACAACTTAGCAGCGTACTGACCCGGATTCTAATGTGCAAGACCATACTGCTGCGTTGACGTTTTTCTTAAGGTGTGTCTAAACACGGCGTGCAAGGTGCGCGGCAGCTACGCGCGGCATTCGCGGGACACAAGTTTGCCGGCAGGTAGCTCGCGGCTGCCGCGCGCGGCAGTCGTCCAATCATAGCGCGGCAAGACGCGCACGGCAGCCGCGCTCGAATGCCGCTTTATGTTTGGACACACCTTTAGTTTTCACCCTCAATGATTGAGTCAAAGGGTTGTAACCCTAACAAGCCGTGACCAGGTTTACTGCAGTAAAACAGAAAACTTCAGGTCCACAAATTTATTCGAAGTCGGTTAAGGAGAAGGAAAGGTAACAAAACAGGTTGTAACAATGAAAGGTATTGTATACAAAAAGAGGTACATTATTACAAAACACTCCGTAACTTGATGAATATTAAGATATTAAGTAAGCACTTACCCCAAAAGGAATAAATACTGAATTACAGATACGTATTCATGATAAAGGTTGTAGTGGTTATAAACTTATTAAAGTTGGCACATGATTTAGATTAGTAATGAATAATCATTTACAACCATTGACTTACAAATAAATGGACGACGGGTCTAATACAAAAACCACGAAAAAAATGTCCCAAGTCAACCTATTTAAACGTAGTGACATGTCAAGGAATATGAAAAAGCTAAAACGTTGAATTTAAATTGTAATGTCATCGCAGTACTGTTTAATTTTGCTTGCTTCGCTGTCAGTCGAACAAACGAAGACTAAAGCGTGAATGACGCTCTGTATACGATTTTAACGCCATATAAGTTCGGACACTTTTTAGCGCGGACCCGACGTCCATATAATTGTAAGTCAATGTTTACAACTTAGTAACGGAATCAAAATTAGACGCGGTTGAATTTTAACAGCTCCTTACGCTGTCGCGATCGAGCAGGGCGTGACGGTGGTGGAACGACACAAAATCAGAACGCGAGGCAAAAGAACTATGGAATAATTCTAAATTTAAATACGAGAAAAAAAAGGCGATAAAAAGGTGGGATGACGACTTAAGGAGGTCACACCGTCATATACTAATCTATAAAAGGCCAAAATGGTGCTTTAGTAGCCGAGGAACAACGTGTGCGTCGCTGCGTTCCGGTATTGTTTAGTGAAATTACAGGCGTATGGGGATTGTCAGCTTTTATAGCGACTGGCACTGCAACTGTTATGGGTAAGGGCATTCGCTTTCTACCATGTCATATTAAAAAAAATTTGTGAAAAAAAACCGACCTCAAAAATTCGTGGAATTACATCTATTTGCCAAGTTTTATTGAAATCGGTTACCGGAAAGTGCGCGAAACCGGATTCATCTCCTAGTTTGCCACTCTTGGAGGTGGAATATTTTCTTCAAAATTAACCGGGACCCATTCTGACGTACCCTTTTCCCAACAAAAATGAATCATCAAAATCGGTTCACAAATCCCGGAGTAAACGCGTAATACACACAAAAAAGCAAAAAAGAACAGTCGAATTGAGAACTTCCTCCTTTTTTGTAGTAGGTTAAAAGTACGAAAACTTTCAGACATCGAAACAGCTACATTGGTTCACTTCAACTGCTTTCACAGTTTAGTGACATACGGAATTTTGCTTTGGGGTAATGCCGCCGATATTAATAGAATCTTCGTCCTGCAGAAACGCGTGGTTAGGGCAATTTCGAGTCGAGAAAGAAATAGTGAAGTGCTCTGAAGAGCTGTTCACCTCATCCCCCCTTCCCCGTTCCTGCTCAGAAGCACGCGTGCTGGCCTTCGTAGTCACCGTTTCACTACCTGCCGAATTCCATCTTGTACTAAAAGGTTCGGTGGCTCCTTTCTCTGCCGCACGGTTGACAAATGGAACTCCCTTCCGGCACATGTCTTCCCTCCCTCTTATGATATGGGGTCCTTCAAACGAGGCGTCTTCACGCCTACACGGCATATTGTAGGCAGGCAGGGTGGAGGTGGCTAGTGCAGTGAGGATTTCATCGCTGCACTAGGTTCCTTCGCGTTTGGATACCACTTTCCACTTAACATCAGGTGGAGTGGAGTCATTTGCCTGTCAGGTATAAAAAAAAAAATCTTCTCAATCAAAGAAAATTTCCTCCTTTTTTAAAATTGGTCAAAAAGGGAACAACAAATACTTGTGAAAAATAATCCGCCATCTTTGGCAGTCCGCCATCTTGCAGATATTGATATTGACGTCACGTAGCACGCCTAGTCGCATTTTCACTAACGATAGATTATTGCTAATGCCCAACCACCTATTGATCGTGACTAATGTATTTCTCTGTCTGGGTCTACGTTAATCAGTCAATATATATATATAATTCCATGTACATTGCGTTAAATGAGGTATAATCTATGTAAATCCTCCATCTCACTAGCTCAATTGAGTACGATGTGGGCGCAGACGACCGCGTGCTGTGACCACACTTGCGGTCGATGTAACCAACCAGCTGAATATTTATGTGATGCTTCTGTGTTGCAAATACAAATTCAATTGGTTTCATAAGTAAAGAAATTACGCTTCTCATAGTCAAATTGGTTAAATAATACTTTTCATTCGTAACGCAGAATGCACTAACAATTTGAATTTGCTGAACACATTTGAAGGCTAAAATTGTGATTTTTTTGTAACAGCCTATTATATATTTTTGTAAAAGTATAAAATGTGTGATATAAAGATTTTCAATAATTTACCACATGAATTTAAATTGTTACAGGTACATATTTTTAAACGACAACTCACAAAATCGCTTTGAAATGAAACTGTTTTTATCTACACATTATCATAAATCCCAAAAAACAATCCTCTATGACGTATTCAAAAACCGCAAATTACGACCAGCATAAACTGTTTTGTTAGAACAAATTTCTTATCTGTGAAAATGTTATGACTGCCTAATAATAACAACAAATTCTATTTTATTATTACATTCAAATTTGGAACATCTCTGAAAAACCTCAATTCTAATATCAGTCGAGATGAAGTTTTATTCAAAATTCAATCTCAATAGCAAACAATTTTCATAAATGTCACACGTTACTTGATATCGAACGATATGATAGTCGGGACAGTTTCTAGTTTGTCTATGAATTAAAAATAAAAACTACGGTTGTGTGACATGCGTGAGAAAAGTTTTTATTTGCAGCCATTTCGCCAGTTTAACATGCGGTTCCTGAACTAGAGAGCTTATAATATGTGTATAGATAAAGCAGTGTATATAACTGTACATAATGAGGCATTAAAACACTCGTATTTTATATATATACATATATTATATTTGTGATATGTTCAGCCTTAGGGCGCGTTCCCTTTGTGTCGTAACGTTTTACGTTACGAACGACTGTCGTGGCTAGCTGTTCCCATTGTCACGAGAGTCTGTCGTCTTAACGTCAAAATAGTCGTGAACGACTGTTAATCGTGTTGTTGTATGTATGAACAACTTAATTTAACTTTAAATTGCACGACTATTTGTTGTCACGACATAATGAGAACGCGCCCTTAGGTTTAACATTAATTTGTCCGCGCCTACTAATATAAAATAGCAAACGCATCGCTAAGAAAAACTTGTATTACGTTTCAACTGCATCGTAACACAATTGTTTTTTTTATAATCCTTACTTGGGGCATCTGTCATTCTTGTTGAGATTGAGACGTAAATTACACGCAATTACAAGATTTCCTTTGACCTACAGCAGTATTTATATTATTATTATTATTGATACAAAGATCGAACAAGAAAGAAAAATTCCTTTGACTGGACTCGAACCAGGGCGTGTTGCCATACCGGGGCTACCTCTCTTACCAACTGAGTTTCAAACAGACTCAGCAAATCTTTTGAATTTTACTATATGTTTTTTTGAGTTTTGAGTTTTAGCACATTTTGCGGACTACCTTCGATTCATATTCGTTCCTAATCTGAGACTACACAAATCTAGAAAACTTGGACCTACTTCGGATGTCACTTGTGAACTAAGTCCAAATCCGAGAAAAAACGAATATCGCCGATCGACAAGTGAAACTCATTTTTGTGAGTTCTGCAGCCTCACAGTTCAGGAGACCAAGCTTGGGAGATCAAGGTACGTGAGTCTAGCAACTAGCTAATTTGGTTCACATCACAAACCTATGTGATTGTGGTCGGATCTTTGTTTGGTTTTTAACTACTTACTTACCGTAGCGCTATCTGTGAAAAATCTATGAAAACATTTCTTCACCCAGTTAGGTACCTTTACAGCTACCGGCACTGACTAAAAATGTCGCTTTGCTGGGAGACGTCGATTCTAATCCTTCCTTAATTTAAATTAAATAATAAGTGCGCATTAGACCACCATCTCACCTGATGATGTGTCGATGAGTTTGATGATGGCGCATACACACCTAAATAATGTCTATTCACTCTCGCCTTCAAAAGGTCCAAGCGTTCAGGGAACAAGTCTGGTGGCAGGGAATTCCACTCCATAGCCGATCACCATATAAATGTGGACGCGAAATGTTTCGTGTGAAAATAGAGATGGAACGTCAACCTATGTCTGGTCCCCCGAAAATGGAAAGGAGAAGGCAGAATAAAATTTTGCAAAAAAGCTTTGAATGCTACTGGTGCTGCAACTGTTATCCGTAGCAGTGTCGCTTAATACCAGGAGCATGACTCGTTCAGTCCATCTCTTGATATCATAAAAAAAGATAACTTTGGTCGTTATGATATCATTTAAAACTTTTACAGTACCTTCTGTTCTTAAGGCGTTTTATTGGAATACCGACACAAAAACGCCGCCGGTTTACTTTTACTGCCGAATACAATGTAAACAGGAAATTACGCCATCTCGGCTATTTTT